TCATCTTTTCTGGTATCAAGCCCGGAAACTTTCTTTATACCGGTGGGCGTAGCTCAACTGGTAGCGAAGGAGTGACACAAGAGTTAGATCTCGGGTTCAAATCTCGGCAACTGCGATGAGGGGTTACTATGCTGAAAAATGCATAGAACTTTTGCAAGTACCGGGGACAGAGCCTCACTCTCTATCTGTCAGATTGTGATTATAGTCCAATTTACATACTCCCATCGTGCTGTCCGTTCGGTGTTGGGGGGCCCTCAGGGATGGTGTGTCATTTCTGGTATCATTTCAAGTGATGATTGATTGCTACGCCCACCATGTTTAATACTTAGTACTTTCGTTTTTTTTTAATTATAAAACTTTAACCATTGATAAATTTTATTCTTTATTAGTAAAAAAAATCAGATTTTGAAAATTTAAAATGAAAGGTATTTAATAGTATTTTTCATAAATTTAATTTATAGTATATTAATAAACAAAATGAAATCAAAGTACAGCATGTAAATAGTGAAAATGTGACATGTTGCATCTATTTAAAAACGGAGGCAGTACTACATACGGAGTACATAGTAAAACGTTTTATACTAAAAACTCGTTAGGTAACACTGAAATCGACTGATTTCTGCTGAAAATTACAAGTGTTTTATTAGTTTATAGATCAAATGTTTTTTGTGAGCATTACCATAGTTCAAAAATACAGAGTAACAAATAAATAAGAGTGCCAGATCTATAATATACGTAGTATTACATATTTGGTTTGTTCAAGTCATTATCTCATCATTTATTAATATTTAAGTTGTTCAAGTGCAATATTCTAGTTGGTCCACGTGGACAATGTACATTACCTTCGGCAGGGCCGTCTAATAAATTTGGAGGTCCCAGTTAAAATGTAAAATCAGGGCCCCACATTAATATAAAAAATAAAAAAATCTCAATCTAAATATTTATACTCAAATCAATTGAATACTGATTAAAAGAGAAGAGAACTAAAAGAGTAAAAAAACAACCGAAAAAATGATGGATCTATATTTTTCTTCCTTACTAATTAACTATGTTTTACTGATTATTATTAATATATAATTTTACTATTATTGAAAAATGGAGTACAAAATATTAATCATTTTTTAAAAATTTGGGGCCCCATAAATTCGGGGGCCCTGTTCTAAATAACATATTGAACCCCCTAAAAAACGGCCTGACCTACAGGGTAACACAAAATTTACAAAAGATTTAATGAAATTTGGAATAAGTTGGAAACTTTTCTATAAATGTTTATGGGGAAAATCTACGTACCAATTTACTAGATATGGTCTCTTCGGTATGTCTTTTGTTTTGCCCCGAGGGATCAGGGGAAGGAGGGTTGGGGGGTCAGGGGGTAAACATGGCTGAAACTCCCTTCATGGAATTTCGTACCTGAGACCTCCCATATGGGGTGTGAGTCGGCGACCAGCTGAGCTGGACCGCTTTCTCACTCTGTTCGATATGTCATTGTTCACAATATACTTCATAATTATCAACTTAATTATGTGGAATCGCCCACTCCGGGTGCTCACACTCCGATAGAATTGTGGAGTAAATCATAGTATGATCTGGAGCACAAGAGGAACCACCAAATTAGATGAAACAGTTACACTGCCGGTCTCTAAGAGCATCTCCAATGGTAAAATGTGCACGGTGCACACGTGGCATGAGAAATAACCACATAAATATTAGTAAATAAATTCTTTCTCTCCTTATTTGAATGATTTTATATAGTTTTGGTAAGTTTTTCTCCATACTGTCAAGGAGACCGTCTAGATGTTGACATTGTTGTTGACATTGCAGAGAAAAACTTACCAAAATTGTATAAAATCATTCAAATAAGGAGAGAAATAATTTATTTGCTAATATTTATGTGGCTATCACTCATGCCACATATGCAACGTGGACATTATAGCATTGGAGATGCTCTAAAACGGTCAACGTGTACTTCCACTTTCCAATTAATATCCACCGATTTGAATTAAAGAGGCCGGAGATATTTTTAGATATAGTAACAATTGATTTTTTTATCTAATCAAGGATACAGATGGAAAAGTTGATATAATGATCTTTTAATTATTTTGTAGATAATTCTTTACAACTATTACTCCCATTTCACGATGTGAGATAAATGTGAGTTTGGCACCAGTTTTAAAAAAAGAGTTTTTACAAAAATATCATTAGAATAAAACTTATTTACATAAACATGACTATTCATTACTATAACGTAGTGTTGTGGTCACTTATGTTCAAAACTTGAACATGAATTACTATGATTTCATTACTACTCTAGTAACTAGTCATATTTTTGTAAATCATCTTTATCTAGATCATATTTGTAATTATTTCTTAAAAAAATAAAGGATCAAATAGTTGTTTATAATTCAAGTATCCAAAAAGTGTGAAAACGTAAGTCGAGTCCATAAACAGTAACTGATAGAATGATAAATATAGGAGTAAAGTATGAAATTAAAATTTTAATGGAATTCAGTTTAGGAAAATTTTTATGTTTTGGGATAATCTATAAATTAAAATTGTATTTTATAAAATGGAACAAAGGAGTATTAATTATTGTATGTTATGCAATAATTGTTGCCGAATTCATTATGCTTTTGTAATTATTTATACTTATTGTCTCTGTTCTCTTCATTTCTAGTATTTATTTATAAATTATAGTTATTTATTAGATCTCTACACAATCCTTAATTATTATTCATTATTTAGTTATTAAATGCTTCATTATGAAATAAATTTCACTTCTTTCCACTACAAACATGTTTCTACTCGATTTTTCATCATATTCTGCTTACAGGGAATACATTGGAAAAACTTTTGTGACATTGTTGAAGAAAGATAAACTAAGCACGACCATCTATTAAATTAATATGACATTGTTTGAAGAAGATATATGTCCATATGTAAATGTAAATGTATAATGAGAGTAAAATAGGGAATACATTGGAAAAACTTTTCATAGTGAACATAAGTATTAATAGTTATATCATTGTGTTGGTGAAACCAATTTGACCTCCCATAGGGTGGAGCCAGGGCACTAGGTGGGTATAAATATTTTTTTTTTTTAAAAAAATTGCACGATTTTTTTTACTAAAAAATATAGGCATTTTTTAAATTTGGGATGGGTCGGGACCTAGGTTGCCCTCCTAGCTACGCCCATGACCTCCCATATGCAACACACTTAGTTCAAAATAATACGTAATACTTCTTACTCCGTATATCTTAATAAAACTAAACTCACAAACCTCAATCACACAACTTTTATATTTTTCTTAATTATCACCTACTTCGAACTTTGCAAGTCCACCGGGACGGAGATATAATACTATACGCAGATTAGAGAGTCCAGTAAAAAAATGTTGGATATGGAAAATAGCTAAACGAAAAAAATAATAGAGAGCCAAAAGGAGAGGATTTAGATATTTTAATGAAGTTAAATGGTCATTTTTAGAGATAATGAATTGTCATTGTAAGGCTATTTTCAGCTCATCCTTATTCCTCAATGTTTTTTCAAAAATATTCTTCTAATTATATATACAATCAAAATAAAGGTCACAATTTATTTTCTAATTCATGAATTGGTTTAAGTTAATCTAAGAATCTAATTCTAAGTAAAGGACAAATTTAGTTTCATCCTATTCAGTCTATTCCATCATCACCAAACAAGATCTTAAATGTTGGGAAACAAAATATGATTAATAATTACAATTGAAAGTTGAAAATTCTAAAGAAAGTTTTAAGACAGTAATTTCAACTATTATCGAGTTGTTTTTTTAATAATCTCAATTACATGTATAGTTTTCTAATACCGAAGTATTAATAATGCACAACCAGATTATAATAATCTAAACTTTTACTTTTTATACCCAAAAAAGGTAGACTACAAGCAAGGATAAAAAGTATACATAAATGACTATTGGTATGAGCAAGGGATAAAAAGTATCAATTCATACAATATCAATGACTTCATCTAAAATGGGGTTGTCAATCAAATTTCAAAGATGACAATATTCAGTAATGGCTATACGTGGGCGTTTCAAAGAGTAACAATCAGATCTTTGACAAATAAATATTTCAAAATCTGTAATATAGTAATGTTACTTATTTTTTCTTTTAGAATACATTTTTTTACTTATTTTTATATAGTGAAACTATGGCTCTGTTTGTTTTTCAAGGGTTGATGCAATTACGCGACATTTTTCAGAGTTTGCAGTTGTAAAAAGTTGGTGTTTTGGGGTAAAACGGTGCCACCCAAACACCCTCTATATCTAAATTTTAAATACTGACTACATGTGATGATGTGAACATTAATTTTAATTATAACCAATTGTAGAAACACAAACAATTTAAAACATAACTTCTTCCGTGCATCGCACGAGTGGAATACTAGTACTCCTAATAAGAAAGGTGTTTGAATAATTGTCCGGTAAATCAAAAGAATTAATTATATTTTTGGTCCTATGAGTTTTGTGTCTATTCCTTATTCAATCCAAGTCTTTCACTTTGTCTACTTTTAGTACTTGACTAATGTTTCTTGACCACTGGTGGTTCTTTTTATGACGATTTTAACCATCATAAACATTGACAAAAAGACAATATACGAGCGAAAATACAATATTCATATATCAAAAGTTGTCAAAGTCAAAGACATAGAGCAATTACGAATTGGTGCAATACTCGTAGAATCAAAAGTGGAATTTATTCACTAGAAAATTACAATTGGTTGAATATAATGAGTGTTTGGATCTGATTCTTATAACTGCTTCTGCTCCTTCAAGGAGCAGAAGTGGAATTTATTCACTAGAGTTGGAGTGTTTGAGTGAAAGTGCAAAAGTGATTCTGGTGCTCTAATTTATTCTTAGAATCAGTTTTTTAGAAGCTGTGGGTGACCAGCTTCTGAAAACTGATTCTGATTCTGCTATTGCTTTAAAAAATAAGCATTTTCAAACATCCCTAAATCTGATTCCTAATTCTCCAAAACACTTTCACACAATTTTTTTCCTCCAAACAACGTTTTTCGATTTTATTAGAAACTCTCATAAATAAACTGATCTAGGATGAAAATCTAAATTCTTATTACAAAAGGTTCACCTCTAAACAAACCTAACCATCAAACAAATTGTACCATGATCTGTATATAGTTTTCTTAAGGGTGTACCTACCATACACAATCCAAGGTGACCTGGGAAAAGGAGAGAGAACGTGTCAAGACAGAGATTCAGTGACAACGGAGAGAGGTCGAGAGGGAGGAGTTGAGAAACAATGGCGGAGCGGGGCGGCGGAGGATGCTGTCCACCGATGGATCTCTTCAGATCGGAGCCTATGCAGCTCGTTCAACTCATTATTCCAGTCGAGTCCGCTCACCTCGCCGTAGCTTACCTCGGAGACCTTGGCCTCATCCAGTTCAAAGATGTACGTACTACCTCCTTATGCACAATATCATTGTTTGCTGTTCCTACTGTATCATTGATTGAGAGGTAGCTAATTATTATTGATTATTGCTGTACTTGTGGATAGTTACCGAGTTGATACAGCTATTAGATTTTGTTCTTCATGATGGTGTGCAAAGGAATCGGTTAGAGCACAATTGCGAATTCAACTTACCTTAAAACGTTGAGAGAGAATGTAATTTATTTTATTTAGGATTTTCATAGTTGGGCTTGTGAATGGAAACATAGCTGTCTTATCGATACTGTCATGGGGATTAGCTGATTTGCAGTTACAATGACGTATTTATGACATCGCTACATGACACAAGAAATAACAAGTACTCCATCTGTCCCAAATTAAGTTCCAATTTTGACTTCATATGTTTTAGGGGAGATAGATTTTGTATTTAGTTTGTAGATATGTCCCTCAACTAAATAATTGATGGGTAAAGTGAGTAATTAATGTTGTACTATGCATAAGCCATAAGGTAAAAAGTTATTTTATTCAAAAGTATCACCAAAAGGAGTGTCAACAATGTGGGTCATGTTTGTGGCGCATGTGGCGTGGAAAATGGAAATGGCGATGTGCACCAATCGTGCCATGCCACCATCACATAAATGTTGGTTGCCATAGAACATTTTTGTGGTGAGAAGGGCTTCAAACCCCTTTGGTATACTAAGGCGCACACTGTTGATAAATGTGATTGAAACTACACTTGTTTGTGGGACTGCAGAGTATTTGTATTTCATTTCAAGGGACCATAAATAATTACGGGTAAGATATACAGATTTAAATGTAGTGACAATCTAAATTTAAGGGGACATGCATGCATATGTTTCTGTCGTTTCTTGTTTGTTTGTTTCTTTTTTGTGTAACTAATAAACTATTGTTACATTTATATCATGACTTTTTTCCAGCATTAGAGTGATACTGACTTGCAAATTAGTCGTCTAACTTGGTATAGGGGAAAAATAATAACTGAACCATCAGCCATCTGGTAGGTGGCTCCCGATGGTATCAAGATAGCTGCAGTGTTGATACAATGGCATGGTGCAGATTTAGGGCAGATAGTTTGTCTGTCTGTTGTTTGGAAAAGCTTGATTGCATATTCCTCCATATTACTTTATGAATATATTTTTGTTCATTATAGATGGGCCGTTGATCTTTAGTCATGTTAATAAAGTCATTGCTCTTGCCAACCTAATGGCAAACGCAATGAGTTTGATTATAGTTTTTTGTCAATATGCAAATGGCACTTCACAAATGATTTCACCTCGCCTTTACCGGGCTTGTAAGTTTCTTACTATACATTTTTTCAGTTTTTCTTCTTGTATTAATTGAATTTCATCTTACTGATGAAAGCATATGCCATTGATCCTCCTTGTTAAAGTCTTATAGTTTTTTTCATGTCCCCCGCAAGTAATGATATTTTCTCTTCCTTCTATTTTCTTCCAGCTGAATGTTGAGAAGAGCCCTTTCCAGAGAGCATATGCTACTCAGGTAAGTGTGTTCTATTGTCAATCAATTTTGATGGTACACATACATGAAATGATTTCAAATTTATTGGTTTTTTTTAGTTTTAAAAAGTGAAAACAAAAACTATGTATTCACAACAGGAATAGGGGATGCAACAAACAGGCGTTTACAAAAATCTTTTCAAAAGATCAATATTGTATAAAAGTTTGGAATCCATAAGGGGATGGATGATTCCCATTGAGTTTCTAATTGTCATTTTTGATCTTTTGCTTGAAGCATCCCAAGTGATTCCAACAATTTTCCATTGTGTAAAAATGTAAAATCAATAAGCTACTTTTTCTTTGGTGAAACTTTGAATACCTTTTAGGCTTTTACCAGTGCTGGACTGGCAGGACTGCATAAATATATTTTCATTCTTGTTGATGATTTATCATAGACAAGATTTAAAGTATATGTAGTGTTTTTTTCTTGTTGAAGATTAAGAGATGTGGAGAGATGGCGCGCAAGTTATGGTTTTTCAAGGATCAAATGTCAAAAGCTGGCCTGTCACCTTGTGCTAAGTCTGCCACACAGGATAACATAAACTTCGATGATCTGGAGGTATATCTAGTTGACTGGGCTCTCTTTATGTCTCGGTTATCCCATATCTGGTTGTTAAAAGTTGCTAGTATACCATGTCATTTTGAGATGATTTAAAACCTGTATATGCATATAGGTGAAGCTTGGAGAACTTGAAGCTGAACTGACTGAAATAAATGCAAACAATAATAAGTTACAACGGTCGTACTATGAGCTAGTGGAATACAGGCTTGTTCTGCAGAAGGTAGTTTATCGTGGCCTTTTGTTACAATAGGCTCTTTGGGCGCAATACATTGATCATTTGTGAGATAGTGAATAGAAGATGAGTGTAAGTGTGTAAGTTGTTTTGATCCTAAAAAGTTAGGAAATGTTACAATAGTCGTTTTCATAATTAAATCGAGTTGGAGTAGCTGAACTTTTTAAATAGGCTCTAAAGTATGTAAACTAAATAGTTGGCTTTGACTTCCACTTAAAGAAAAATGCTTCAAAATTTTATGATTCGAGAGTAAAGACATATTTACCACATATTTCTGCAGGTTGGTGAAATATTTCACTCAGCACAGAGTTGTGCTGAAGCTCAACAAAGAGAGTATGCATCAAATCAAAGTGGCGAAGAGTCTGTGGAAGCTCCACTCTTGTCGGAATTGGTAATCCTGCCTTGATCCATTAGTGATGAATAACTTTCCCCTCTTAGGTTTTCAGGCTTTTCTTGCGTTATGTAAAACGTTTTTCATGGAGGAAAATATCTTTGTTGATTCTTTCTACATATGTAGTTATTCTCTTAAACTAGTTCCATTTTTTCAATTTCTGTTTCTTGGTTGAATCTTAAATTATAAGTAGACAGACTATCTTATTTCTGCTACTCCTTTCACAGAATTTCATTTTTCGCATTTTCACAGCAACATATTTTTCTGCGGTCAAATGGGGCCCTGTCGTATTAATCATCGTTTCTTATTTTATTTTTATTGCAGGATATGTCAATGGATCCATCTAAGCAAATTAGATTGGGATCTATTGCTGGACTTGTTCCTAGAGAGAAATTCATGGCCTTTGAGCGGATTCTCTTCCGAGCTACCCGGGGTAATGTGTTGTTGAGACAACATGAGGTGGAGGAGCCTGTCACTGATCCTATTTCTGGAGAAAAGGTTAGCATGTAACTTTTTGTGGCACACTTTGAGATAGAAGAGGATATGTAATAGCTATTTCTAAAGTCAGTACTTTTCATTTGCTTAATAATTTGTAAATATCTTCTTCCATAAAGTGGTGTTGCTTATGCTAGCCTCTTATTGCAGGTTGAGAAAAATGCATTTTTAGTCTTTTTTTCAGGCGAAAGGGCAAAGAACAAAATTCTTAAGATATGTGAAGCTTTTGGAGCAAATAGGTACCCATTTGCCGAGGAACTTGGTAAACAGGCCCATTTGATAGCAGAGGTATAACTATGTGTTATTCCCATCATCCTAGCATTGCCTAAACCACATGTTGGGGGTATAAATATTTTTTCTGAGTTACCTTATACGCTCCATTTCCTTCAAGGTATCTGCAAAAACCTCGGAACTAAAGACTGCAATAGATGCTGGAATTCTGCACCGTGGGAATGTATTACAAATTATTGGCAAACAGTTCGACACCTGGAACTTTTTGGTCCGTCTTATGAAATAAGGCATTCTTATTAAAACATACCACATTAAAGTGATTACAGGTAGCATCCTTTCAATAGCTGAATTATTAATTTTACACCATCTCCATGCTGCAGGTTCGAAGGGAAAAATCTATTTATCATACACTTAATATGCTTAGCACAGATGTGACAAAGAAAGGCCTGGTTGCTGAAGGCTGGAGTCCTACTTTTGCAACTCAAGAGGTGTTTAGTTTTGAATTTCATTCATGTTATAATTTTTATAACAATGGCACATAGTCACGGCCTTTCAGAATTTAAAACAATGCTGGCTTTTGTGAAGCTTGGTATTGACATAGTTGTTTATCTTTTTATCGTATTTTTTTTATCTTTATCTTTTCTTTTTATCTTTTTTTGCTGAATTCACATGTCATATCATGTTAGCTGACCCCAATTTCTTTTGAGACCAAGGCTTGGATGTTGTTGCACCATATCGTGCAGAATTTTAAAAAAATGTTTGATATGAACTTGATTCGTTTTTGAATAAAATCAAATTGCTTGCTTTGTGATCATGCAGATTCAGGATGAACTGAAGAGGGCAGCACGTGACTCTAATTCAGAAATGGGTGCAATTTTTCGGGTACTGCCTACGCGAGAATTGCCGCCCACATATTTCCGGACAAACAAATTTACTTCTGCCTTTCAAGAGATTGTGGATGCGTATGGGTGAGTGTCATGGGAGAGGTTTTTATCTGTAATTTTATCTTAGTATGGGAATTGAGATAAAAATTCATATTACTTACTAATTATCTTCTGCTACTCTACTCTAATAGAGTTAGTGCTCTTTTAATTGCAAGTCTATCATTATCATCTCTCAGAATTGGCACCCTAGCAATAGCACTTCAGCGGGACAGCCACTAACATTATTATTTTCAATTGCTCTTATTTTCCTGAATATGCATCAATCCGACAGTTCTGCATCATTTATTTGATTTCTAGTTTTTAACAACTAAACTTGGTTTGTCATATTTTACAGGGTGGCTAGATATCAAGAAGCAAATCCGGGTGTATTCACTATCGTCACATTTCCATTTCTTTTTGCAGTAATGTTTGGTGACTGGGGTCATGGTATATGCTTGTTACTTGCAACATTGTACTTTATAATCCGTGAGAAAAAACTCTCTAGTCAGGTGATTATATATTTATATATTAACATTGTAGAACCATTTGCAGTTATTGTTTTTGAAGTTGATGTATCACCTCTGATAATTTACGTGTCATTTACTGTGCCAACTCAAATATAAGACGTTCTTATGCAATTTTGCTAAAACTTGGGAATATGGCCATGCTTAAACTTTGTGGTTGCCTGGTTGAGTGGGAGAATATTTCTGTAACTTTAATTTATGGGTACAGAAAATTTAATGCATGCACGTTTTGCATAATACAAAAAATATCTGGAGGAATATAGTGGCACGAATGGATGAAATTCTTGGTCTTTAGTAGTTCTGTCAGAGGTTTATTTGGTGTTACTCTTTAATTTAACTCATATCTTATTCAGTTTTTGAAAAACTCCCTTAGTATCTTAGTCATTGGGAGTTGGGACATTGAAGACTTCAGGATCAGGGAATGTGCTCATGAACTAGGGCATATACATTATCGGAAAATATGTGCTTCCAATTTCTGCTTTTGGCCACAGCTACCCATTCAATATTTCAATATAAATTTAGACATTTTATAATAAGATCTATCGAACCATGAAATTTAGTAGCTTCTATTTATCATTGGGCGATGGAAGGATTATGTAATACTATTTGACCAAACTCATAAATACAAATAAAACCGCCTTCAACCTTTTCTTATATACAAGGACATAAGTAACAACTAGCAATATGAGTTGAACCCCTCATCCACTGGCACTAAAGCTACATGCGACTATCTAGGGCTGTACTTGCTATTTTCTGATGCCTGGTGTTGCTTCTGCCGCCTGTTAGTATCAGTATGGCACTATGAATGAAATCCTTATTTGTAAAGTTTTGTCCTTAAATGTCTAAATTTATATGTAGACTTGTAGAGGATCTATTTGTAAATCAATGTTTCTTAAGTAATTTATCTGTAGTGGGTCACTTAGTATTTCCCTGATAGATCCCCTCTACATATGCAGAAACTAGGAGACATAACGGAAATGACGTTTGGTGGGCGTTATGTGATATTGATGATGGCAGTCTTCTCAATCTACACAGGATTTATCTATAACGAATTTTTCTCTGTTCAATTTCCATTATTTAGCAGCTCGGCATATGAATGCCGTGATACTTCTTGCAGGTATATAAGTTAACTTCATTCTTCATACATTTCCGAACAATTGTTAATATGAAATTATATTTTATTGAAACTCGATTGCAGTGAGGCTACTACAATAGGCCTAATCAAGACACGTCATACTTACCCATTCGGTGTGGATCCTGCCTGGCATGGCTCTCGAAGTGAATTGCCATTTTTGAACTCCTTGAAGATGAAATTGTCAATCCTGCTTGGGGTGGCTCAAATGAACCTTGGGGTTTTATTGAGCTACTTTAATGCCAAATACTTCAGAAATAGTGTAAATATATGGTAAGCCGTAAGTTTTATATGCTTTAACTGGAGGTTGCTTCCGGCCATTGTTATGCTGGTGTATGAGTGTATCTAAAGTCTAAACTTGACTGAATGACGCAATTGCAGGTGTCAGTTTATTCCTCAAGTTATATTCTTGAATGCACTATTTGGATACCTTTCTGTGCTCATCATTATAAAGTGGTGCACTGGTTCCCAAGCTGATCTATACCATGTCATGATATACATGTTTCTTAGCCCTACAGATGATCTCGGTGAAAATCAACTTTTCGCTGGTCAAAAGTTAACTCAGGTTCATTTTCTACTTACTTTTCCGCTTCCACGGAAATAATCTTTATTTGTTGAAGTGCGCATTCGATCTTCAGTCACATATTCAAATTTTCCCTTTCCAGCTCGTACTACTACTTTTGGCACTGGTTGCTGTTCCATGGATGCTTCTCCCTAAACCATTCCTTTTGAAATCACAACACAACGTAAGGTTTATGTTTTTATTTTTGTTTCTTTTTAGCATTATTGCTTATATTATGAGATTTTAACTCACACATATAATGTTTATTCTTCAGAGACATCAAGCGCAGTCTTATGCACCAATTCAAGATCTAGATGAGTCCTTACTTGTAGATGGAAGTCATGATTCTAGTGATCATGAGGAGTTTGAGTTCAGTGAAGTCTTTGTGCATCAACTAATACATACCATTGAGTTTGTGCTGGGAGCAGTCTCTAATACTGCTTCTTATCTTCGTCTGTGGGCCCTTAGGTATGTGCTAATATATTCCTTGGCCAGCGTTAATATTTACCTGAATATTTAAAAGATTATCTGACCAAGTTATTACCAATTTTGTGTGACTTGAAATGACATGTAGACAGTATAATTAAATTTGTCCATTTGATTCTTATGCTTCAATTTCATGATAGAAGAAATAATTGCTTACTGAAATCAGAGGGCTTGGTTATGTGTGCAGGCAAATATTATAGTGTTATACTACTTATATGTGCTTGCTTATCCATGCAATGAATATGGCTAGAGCTTCATTTGCACACATATCTGCAATCTGCAATTTTTTACATTCATCATACTCCCTGTGACCCAAAAAAGGTTTATGTTTCCTTTTAAAGAAAGATGAAATTGTCACTGAAATTGTGTGGTTAATATTATTTCTTTTCTGCATAAATCTCAACCGCACAATTTCAGTTTCTTAGTAAGCATGCCGGGTCGAATGGGCAACCTTATTTTGAGTTGGGTAAAGCATAACATAAAGTAGCTCCCGTTTGATTAAATCTTTACTCAAGTATTCTATGTGTGGCCATCTTGCAGTCTTGCACATTCTGAGCTGTCAAGTGTCTTCTACGAGAAGGTCCTCATCCTTGCTTGGGGGTAAGTGCTTGTTCATAGTAGTTTGAATGCAAGAGTTCCATTACTAATTTGATGAGAGAAACTGAGAGAAAGGGCCAAAGTGGTATGGTTCGCCTGTTGGCAGCTGTTATGCACTGGAGCATCCATTATTAGCTGTATCTGACTCTCAGAGAAACTCCAATATCTGATGTTTTAATACTATGATAAATTTTAAATATATACCCTTATCCTTACAGTCGAAGCAACACAAGCCCTTGCAACTTTTCTTCCTTATAGAATGTAGATTTTAGAGCCCGTTTGGCAAGGACAGAATTTGACAGAACTGACTGAGTATGCTATATCAGTCGTATTATCTATAAACATATTTAAGTAGATTTTTTAATACGTAAAAGAAATTAATATTTGTTTTAAAAAAAAAATGAAATTAATATTTAAAATGAGGGTAGATGTTTCGTGTTTCGTTTTTTTAAATATAAGCAAACAAGTAATGCTTGTATTATGTTTTCTTAATAAGCAATAGCCAATTAGTCATCGACTCATTGCTGTCAAATAAGTTTGGTGTAAAATTTGGCCTAGTTTCATTTCTATTCTCTCAGGTGTACCTTTAAATCACATGCACACTCCACACACACATTAAACAATCCATGCATGGAAGAGGTGGCAAGAGTTGTGGATATATGCTAGTGAGCGATAGCAATGATGTCAAATATAATACGGAGTATTCGACTTAATGCAGGTACAACAATATTATGATTCTTATAGTTGGCATAATTGTGTTCATTGCTGCGACTGTTGGTGTGCTGTTGGTGATGGAAACACTGAGTGCATTCCTTCATGCGCTAAGGCTTCACTGGGTGGAGTTCCAGAACAAGTTTTATGAGGGAGACGGATACAAGTTCACTCCTTTCGCTTTTGCTTTGCTTAGCGAGGAAGAGGATTAAATCAGTGTTGATGTTCATGGTCTCGTGTTCTTTTGCTTCTTTCACCATCAGCAACAGCAGCTAAGGTGGAGGGGTTTCTCTTTTTCTCTTCTTTATTTGTTGGGATTTGGAGATGAATGATATTTTTACTGCGTGAGCTTCCATCCCTCAACGTTGTGTAATAATAATAGTAACATTATTAATTACTAATAATAAGCATCTTGTCTGTATTCTGGCAGTTGCTGATACCTCACCTATTAGGCATTAGCCTATGTTGTATATTACTCGTCCTATTTAATAAAGAGGATTATGCTCAAGGGTCAAAAGGGACATGTGTCCGCCGGAATGGTTCAGTTTACACTCCGCACACTAAACTATAAAAAGTCTTAATCACATTCGAACAAAAAACTGAAATAGCCAATTTTGCAAGTTTCAAACATTTGCTATAGTACGGACTCGGCATGGACCGGTCCCGGGCCGGGCTCCGGGCCGGTCCTGGGGGGCTTTTTGGGTTTGGCTTCGGGCCCGGAACCTGCCCGGGTTTCCACCGGGTCTGGGCTGGTCCCTGGGCTTCTTCATTTTTTTGCTTTTGTAATTAACCCCCGACCCCCACCCCTCCTCCAAAACACCCAACCCAACTCGGGAAAAACAAAAAAAAATTGAAAAAACCCAAAAAAAAAGGCCCTAATCGGGCCTGGACCGGCCGGTTCCTATTTTGGGTGACCCGAGGGTAGTCCTGGACTCGGGCCGGTTCGGGCCCGGTTCGGGCCTGGGCCCGGCCGGGCCACGGGCCAGGAAAGGGAGGCCCGAGCCCGAACCGCCGGTGGCCGGTTCCGGTCCCGGTTCCGGGCCAAACCGGGCCGGGCCGGGCCGAACCGGCCCAATAATTTTTTTTTTTTGTTCTCCTATTTAATCCCCTACCCCTCCCCCTCAACCCCAAACCATCCCAAACCACCTCAAATGGCCCAAAATACCTAATCCAACCTAAAACTTAAAAAAAATTCAAAAAAAAATTAAAATTAAAATCCGGCCCGGACCGGGCCCGAACCGGGCCCGAACCGGCCGGGCCGGTTCACCAAAACCTAGGCCCGGGCCCGAACCGCCCAGCAGCCGGGCCGGGCCGAACCGAACCGAGGGACCCACCGGGCCCCGGGCCGGGCCGGGCCAAACAGTGACCGGGCCGGGCCGCCCGGCCCGAGTCCAGGACTACCCGAGGGCCGAGACTGACCCGTATAACCCCCGGGCTAGGGGTGGACTCGGGCCGGTTCGGGCCTGGGCCCGGCCGGGCCTCGAGCCAGGAAAGTTGGGCCCGAGCCCGAACCGCCGGTGGGCGGTTCCGGGCCCGGTTCCGGGCCAAACCGGGCCGGGCCGGGCCTAACCAGTTCTAATTTTTTTTTGGCTCTTCTATTTAACCCCCAACCCCTCCCCCTCAACTCCAAACCACCCCAAACCACCTCAAATGGCCCAAAATACCAAATCCAACCCAAAACTTAAAAAAAATTCAAAAAAAAAAAAAAATTAAAACCGGCCCGAACCGGCCGGGCCGGTTCACCAAAAACTGGGCCCGAGCCTGGACCGCCCAGCAGCCGGGCTGGGCCGGACCGAACCGGTGGACCCACCGGGCCCCGGGCCGGGCCGGGCCAAACAGTAACCGGGCCGGTTCCGGGTCGGGCCGCCCGGCCCGAGTCCACCCCTACCCCGGGTCGAGCCTATCCGGACCGGTCTCTGGCCGGACCACTGGGCCGGACCAGTTCCAAACAGTACCGTGCCGGGCCGGGCCACGGGCTGGTCGGCCCTAGGGGTGGACTCGGGCCGGGCGGCCCGACCCGGTTACTGTTTGGCCCGGCCCGGCCCGGGGCCCGGTGGGTCCAGCGGTTCGGTTTGGCCCGGCCCGGGTGATGGGCGGTCCGGGCTCGGGCTCTGCTTTAGGCGAATCGGCCCAGCCGGTTCGGGCCCGGTCCGGGCTGGATTTTTTTTTTTTTTTTTTGAATTTTTTTTTAAGTTTTGGGTTGGATTAGGTATTTTGGGCCATTTGAGGTGGTTTGGGGTTGAGGGGAGGGCTAGGGGGTTAAATAGGAGAACAAAAAAAAAAGGACCGGTTTGGCCCGGCTTGGCCCGGCCCGGTTTGGCCCGGAACCGGCCACCGGCGGTTCGGGCTCGGGCCCCGATTTTCTGGCCCGAGGCCCGGCCGGGCCCAGGCCTGAACCGGCCCCGAACCGGCCCGTGTCCATCCATCGGCCCGGAACCGGTCCACCACTAGTACGGACTACTACGGAGTATTCATTTGAAAGTCACTGTGTCAAAGTATATAAAAAATTAAAAAATTTGAAAGTAACTGTGTCAAAATATATAAAAAAACACAGTTATTTTCAAAAATTCATTTAACCGGCTTTTGATTGAACTTTTTGTTAAAATTTAGTGGACATAATATTAATGTTATGAAGAACATGCTCATATAATTTAAGCAAAAAAGTTCACACAAAACCACTCAAAATGAGGTGACTGAACAACGGTCGTGTCTGAAATTTCCAACAAGAATCTTTTTGTAACTAGGGAGGTATAAAGACTATTAATATGTGTGTCAATTCCTATCACATGTGATATAGAGTATTAAATCTTAGAGAGAAGAGAGCTAGAGAGAAAATGGGCAATTGATATTTTATCAAACCTCTATAAGTACCATAAGTATAAGTATATGGTTGAGTACATGGTTTATTTGGCTAAGTATAAAATTTTATCTTGCCAGAGTACTTCTTGGCCAACGATGTACCCTCTGGCTGATGGAGGTAGGGGTGGGTTTGGTTCAAACGGTTCGTTTTTCGCCTAAAACCAAATGCCGAACCAAAGTAAAAAGTTCGGTTCGGTTCAATTTTATATTCAAAAATTTGAAACCATGGTTTGATCGGTTCGGTTTATTTCGATTCGGTTTCGGTTTTTTCGGTTTGTACCAAAATATTTTTGTTGATTACAAAAAGTAATTGGTAAATAAAAAATAGACTACATCAAACTATAATTAATAGTAATACAATACAAAAACATAATTAAACAAAGAGAGGAGAAACAAATATAATGCATTTCCAGACAATGAATTAGAAAGTGTATAATATTAAACATTATATAAATTAATTGAACACATAACTTTATTTTCGAGCTACATATAGTGTGTCCGCAAGTTAAAGTTTTAATGTAAATGTTAAAGAGAGGGAGAGGAAGGCCCAAACAGACGTGGGTTAGGGGAGACAGAAGTGATATGCTTCTTCTTGGATTGGATGAGTATGGCTTTGGAGAGAGCAAAATGGAGGGCGGGTATTCGTGTGGAAGGGTGATCTTGTATCATCTTTTCTCCTCTTTTTTTTTCTTTTTCTTTTATATTTTTATCCTTATATATAAATATTACTTTATCCTTTTTATTTGATCTTTTATATGTATATTCATCTCTTTTATATTATCTTTTTTTTATAATAGCTTATCTTTTTTATCTTTATTTTCGTTCTTTTCCTTTTTGTGATATCATATATCGATTCATGTTAGCCGACCCCAATTTCGTTTGGGACTAAGGCTTGGATGTTGTTGTTGTTGTTTAGGGCAAGAGATTCATGCTCAAGAGCTCCACGTTTTTTACCATGTCGTTTAAAGTATAGTTTATATTAATACATATTCGGTCAATATGAAAAATTATGTGATAACAAACACACATAACAAATAATGTATCAACAAAATAGCATTGTCATGCAGCAACAAACAAAATTTAAATTACGATTTAAAATATCAACATAAAGTTTTATGTGAATTTAAATTATCATTGTCTTAGACTTTTACAAAATTACTGTTTTTAACATTTTTTTATTGATTATGTGACCAGTTTTTAACAATTAGCATTTTCTTTTATGAATTTATTTGATTGATACGAACATATGATTACGTGACCAATTTATTAATTGATAAATCGATTTAATTCATATAGTTGTTTAATGCTTATAAATGATTATGAATTGACAAATAATTAGTTGATTTGTTACATGTTAATTAATTTGTGATTGTTACCTATTGAGTGTTGGTGTTATAATTTGTTCATTTTGTTAGGTAAAAATGTTCAATTATAGTTAAATTTATAAATTTAACTAATTCCAAGGTTTAATAAAAATGGGTGAATCTGTATGGCAGAAAAAGATGAAGAGAAGATTAGATAATGCTTTCCTAAGTAAAAATGGTGTAATGGAAAAGTTTGTTTTTATGAAGAAGACAAATTCCGAAAGTCCTTCTGAAGATAAAAACTTAGAGGAGAAGAATGATTCAGCTACCGAAAACGAAATAGTTCATAATGATAATGTCATAGGAGGTGAGAACTTAGGAGTTGATAACATTGGTAGTCACCAAGCAATGTATTTAAGTAATTTTATTTGTTTATTTTGAAAATGTGATTCAACTATGTTTAATTTAACTAATTCAAGTATTTTTCCTTATTATAAAGTTCTTCAAATATTATTATTTTGCATGTTAATTTAGATAAAAACAGGTTTAACATTTTTATATATTAAAATTAGGCCCATTTTAAATTATTCACCCCTTGGCCTTCAAATATACAAGGCCACCCCTGTGTCTCTCCTTCCCTTCAAACTATCTCACTCCGGTTGTTATATGGTGGGAGCAGTCCATTGCGAGCATGATATTTTTACAGTTAAAACGCACGTGAATGGTAACACACATGAACATTTTGTTTCATTAGCAGAGTGATGTAACTCGTGTGTAAAGGAATGCAATTACATTTTATGAGAAATGTAATTGCAGGCCAAAATGTAACCTGTCCAATAAGGATTATAAAAAATACTACCTCCGTCCCACTAAGATTGGGACATGAGAAGGTGACACGGTTATTAAGAAAAGTGAGTTTGTGTGGTTGATATTAAATTGATAAAGTAAAAACAAAGTAAGAATGGTTTAGAGCCACACAAATTTTACCAAATTTGGTATGAGACAATCTTAGTGGGACTTCCCGAAAAGGTAAAACGGGACAATCTTAGCGGGACGGAAGGAGTAAAACATTGATTTCAGTGTAAACAATAAAAAATGAGCCCGGTTGCTCAATTAATTCACGTAAATAGTGAATATGTTTTGTTTTAAATATTAGGGCCATAAAAATGTTTTTTAAGAAATCATTTTTTGTTTCAATAGTACTTAGTACGAGGTTTATTTTGTGATGTAAATTGTCACCTTTTTGACTAAAATGTCTGAAATGACTAAATTGACATATTTTAAATATTTTTCATATAATTTTCAATCTTAATGCATTCTTAAAATACATCTTACTTTTTCACTTAATTCAACAGAACTTCACTAATTTCTACATATTTATGCGATGCGAAAAATTATACCATTACTGATAGACTTATAAAATTTCAAAACGCGCACATAACCAATAACAAGTTAACAACAACATGCAAGAAGCGTATCTTAGAGCCGGCTGTACGGTGAACCGTACAGCCGGTGGCAATTTTATAAATTTGATGAAAATCGTGGTTTCTCTTAAATGAGCATTCAGGCAATTCTGATGAGCATCAACTTTGTTATTTTAAGTATTAGAAGTCTAACAACGAGCACCACTGATCTCTGCTTCATATCTTCAAATTTAGTTTCTTTTTATTATTATTTTTCGTTTATAACAAATTCTTAAAATATGTTTATAATCAATTTCAATTGATTTTAATATGTTAATCTTATGTAGTATGATACGTTTGAAATGTGAAACATTTTAAAGTGAGCATAGAGCAGTACCCAATGGGCTTACACGACTTACAAAATGAGTATAAAAAAATTCGAAAGTTCATTTGTGTATACTCATTTATTTTGGACGTTATACTCACTTGAGTTTAACATAAAACTCATTTCTAAAAGCTCATTTATGCAACCTTTTAAAATGAGCATAAAGTGATTCAAAATGAGCATACATAACTTACAAAATGAGTATAAAAAATTCAGAAGCTCATTTGTGTATGCTCATTCATTTTGGGCGTTATACTCATTTGAGTTTAACAAAAACTCATTTTCAATGTGTTCAATAATAATTTGTTGAGTTCATTTCTTTTAGGCATATACTCATTTGAGTTTAATATAAAACTCATTTTCAATGTGTTCAATATTAATTTATGTGAGTTCATTTCTTTTAGGTGTATACTCATTTGAGTTTAATATAAAACTCATTTGAGATCAATAGGAGCAAGGATTCTTCAACAATGAATTAGACTCTCTTTGTTTCCCAAAATCACAAGTTCAAACAGCAAAACTACCTCAGAAAAAGAGAAAAAGAAAAAGAGTGGAAAGAAAGAAAGAAAGAAAGAGGAGGGGAAGGAGAAGGGGGTGAACGACTGTGACGGTGAGCCTGGTGCGAAGTGTGATTGAAGAAGAAAGCGAAATTGGAGAAGTCTGGGGCGAAGCTTTGTGCAAAGCCGAAGCGTAGAAACCTGGTGCGAAGATCAGATTGAAGAAGCGCAGGCTCAATAAAATACGGTTGTACCTTGCGCACCCCGCACGGTACAACCGGATGTACCATGCATTTTACCCGGACATGCATCAGTGATATACTCACAATCAATGTTCTAAAAGGCGCTAGGCGCTAGTTGGGCGCCAGCCCAGCGCCTAGCGCCTAGGCGGCTAGGCGGGCGCCTAGTCGGGGACTAATCGAAGACATAGACATTGCATTTTATCTATATTTTTGCATAAATATGATAAGTAATATTGTATTTTGTGTGCATAAAATACATATATACATATACATTAACAAACATGAATGATAGAATTATCACATTTAATCATACGTAGTACTCCATATATGATAACTGATCACTTAACTTCATTATGTTATAAGTATAAATATGTTATCACATTCATACATAGTTTTATCTTAATTTACAACTTCATTTCTTTATATCCATGGCTAAAGTTAAAGTATGTATATCGCTTAGAAAATTAAAATTAAAAAGCGAAGTAATGTTCGGCGAATCTAGACGGCCTAGGAGGCCGATTAGGCGCTCTAGGCGGGCAACTAGGCGCCATAGGCGGCCGACCAATTAGTCGGAGCGCCTAGACGAAAATCGGGGCGCCTGACCACCGCCTAGCGCCTAGGCGGGGACTAATCGGGCGCCTAGAACGATTTTTAGAACAGAGCTCACAATAACCATGGTCACAATTTTATTTATGAAGTACGAGTATATTTTATTATTCCTTAATATTTAAGGAAAAATCTCTTATTAATCTTTTACTTGATTTAAACACTTTTTGCTAATCCTATATTGACTGAAATCAAACTTACTCAATCAAACACCACATTTTTTACAGGAATAAACATTGAGTTTATTGATCCAAAAGGTTGAATCGCCAACCCCAAGCGCCCCCCACGCCCCGACCCGACAGAGCACATGAGAGGATGTAAGTCACGGTGACTCAGTCAGCAGAGTGGCAGTAGGCCATACACCCATGCGCACCAGAGGTCCAGCCTTATTTCAGGTTCTGTAACCTTCACCCGGTCGCTGCGGGGATTCGAACCTTGGTCATTGATTCAAATTTCCCACCACTTGACCAACTGAACTATCCGTGCGGGTAACATCTAATTTATTAAGGGTGGTGAGTGTGTTAGTAGCATGCATAAGATTTTCGCGAAAAAAAAGGATGACACCCCATCCCTGAGGGCCCCCCAACACCGATCGGACGACACGACGGGAGGATGTAAATTGGACTATAATCACAATCTGACAGATAGAGAGTGAGGCTCTGTCCCCGGTACTTACAGAGGCCCTATGCATTTTTCAGCATAGTAACCCCTCATCGTAGTTTCCTGGATTCGAACCCGAGACCTAACCCTTGTGGCACTCCCTCACTACCAGTTGAGCTACGCCCACAGGTAAAAGTAGAAAATCATTTGCATAAGATTTTTGCGGTATTTTTGTGTTAGTAGCATCCAATCGTCTTTGCGGTATTCCCCGTGTCAAAAGCTCCGCTTGGATTTTTGCGTTCCTCTTTCCCCTCCCACCCACGGCCCCACTTTCGAGCATCTTTTTGTCCGCTTTTTCTCTGTCTCTCTAATGCTGAGACCTCATCATTATCTGCTCTGTAAAACTCTGCGCAGGAAACCGTTCTGATCTACGTCTCTGCGTTTTTTTAAACCCTAGCCTCACCATTAATTCGCCGAGGTTCGCGCTCAAAGTTGATCAGAATTTCGCACATTCGAGGCATCGCTCGCCCATCGGTACGCCCATCTCGTCTTGCGTTTACTTCGTTTCGCATTTCTGTCTTTTCTTAATTTCCTCATTCTTGAAAATGAGTGTTCGTTATCGTGGATTAGTAGCTGTTTGGTACACTAGCACTTGCATTTCATTTTCAAATTTGCTTTTCATAATCACCCGCTTGCTTGATCAAAATTGAATACTGGTGTCTAATTGTATATAAGTTCCATGTAATTTAAAGACGCCTCGCCATCATGCAGGATTGCAGGTTTTCAAAGTAGTCATATGAATCAGTCAACAATCTCAACCATTCGCATCTAGTTAGCTGGTTGATGTATCATTATGGTTTATATATCATGAACACAATTCCGTTGATTTTTACTCTACTTGCACTTTCGTTGTACATAATAAATGGATAGAATTAAGTTTTTAAAGATAAGTAAGAGTAAATTGTGATCCTAGAACCCGGTCAAGGTTTTACAAGAGACTGAAAGATAGACCAGTCATGAGCTTCACTTCTCCTTCTCTACTCTCCTCTCCTTCTTTTACTAAGTTGTTGATCATGTTTTCCTAGAACTGGTCAAGGTTTTACAAGAGACTGAAAGATGGACACATAAAATTAATGTCCCAAACCATTTGTGAGGAAAATCTTCTAGTTGATGATTTGCCATCTGATGATGAATGGTTCGTGTTCATACTTGTGTTTGTGTTTGAGACTTTTTGGGCTTATAATTATGCATTTCTTTAGTTGTTTATTACTAGTTTAACTATTACTTCTATAAGTTTTATCTGTTGGTATATTTTGAGGCTTATGCTTCAATACGCCTCGAGGCTTACGCCTTGCATCTCCGGAATAAACAGTGGCGTAGGCAAGGCAGAATATTGGGGCGGGTTGGTACAAGGTTTCTTTTGAATTTTTTTACACAATTATTTTACCCTAATAATTTAATTAAAACTGAAATTTGGGGTGGGTCGGGGCCTAGGTTGTCCCCCTAGCTACGCCCCTGGGAATAAACCGCCTTGATACCCGAACTAGCCTTTTTAAACTTTGCCTATAACGTTGATGCATCAAGATGGTGGTCAACATAATTTAAACCATCCCTCTAATTTCATTTTGTGTTGTACACTTGTGGACTTTTGTGATGCTAAGTCAGAGCTCAACTGGGAATACCAAATCTCGTAATACAGTAATACACTATTTAGCCTGCTGTCCAGTTTTTCTCTTTGGAGTGATCAATTTCACATTTTCACCACTTCAGGGTTTGTTGCGCTTAAGCCAAAGCTGCTCACGGGAGCTCAAGTGCAACCTTTTATCTTTAGGTCTCTTCCGGAGCTCTTACTCTTTCATGGCTGGTGACTTCACTAATGGCATTGCTGATGGAGGCCCAAACATCGATGCACAGCCTGATCCTCAGAGGACATATCAGGCTGTTGTAGCTGCCACTCGCAATTGCGGTATTGGCAAGAATGGAAAATTGCCTTGGAAACTGCCATCTGATCTAAAGTTCTTCAAAGAGCTTACTATAACAACTGCCGAACCTGGCAAAAAGAACGCTGTCATCATGGGCAGAAGGACTTGGGAAAGTATTCCTCTTGCTCATCGCCCTCTTCATGGACGTCTAAATGTTGTCCTTACCCGCTCCGGTAGTTTTGACATTGCCACTGCAGAAAATGTTGTGATATGTGGCAGTTTAGGCTCTGCTCTCCAACTTTTGGCATCTTCACCTTATTCTCTATCAATTGAGAAAGTGTTTGTCATTGGAGGTGGTGAGATTTTCAGGTTGGTATACATGTTTGCAATTAGTTTATATTTTTCTTCTCATAAACTCTTTTATTCCTCTCCCCTGTTAATTTTCTGGGATGTCACATATAAAATTTCAGGGAGGCCCTTAATGCCAATAAATGTGAGGCTATTCATATAACTGCAATCGAAGCAGACATTGACTGTGATACTTTCATGCCACCTATTGATATTACTGCATTTCAGCCCTGGTACATGTCATTCCCCTTGGAAGAAAATAAGATCCGGTTTTCCTTTAACACATTTGTTCGTGTGAGGAGTTCTGAAGTGGATGTCCTTACTCAGAGTGACATTGTCACTCTTGATAGCGGCTCAGATCTTGAAAAGTTTGATACTAGAGCATTTTCTTTCTTGCCTAAGATGATTTTTGAGAAACATGAAGAATACATGTATCTAAAGCTGGTTGAGGACATCATAAAAAATGGTGTGTCTAAGGATGACAGGACCGGGACTGGTACCCTGTCAAAGTTTGGTTGCCAGGTAGTAGCATAGTTAATGCATATCTACTCATGAAATGATACAGCTTAGTAAGTGCTTTTGTCGCAGTTTTAGTAATTTATTATTAGTTGTTGGTTAACTTTTTATTATCATCTGAAGATGCGGTTCAATCTGCGGAAGTCCTTTCCACTTCTTACAACAAAGGTATATCACGGAAATGAGACCTATATGCAACTCTTAGCTTTCCATTTCTTCAGTTTCTTTTTAATGCGATAAGCATTCTAAGATGTATTTTGGGTTGCAGAAAGTATTTTGGCGCGGTGTCGTTGAAGAACTTTTGTGGTTCATAAGTGGTTCTACAAATGCTAAAGTAATATTGTTTAATAAGTAATGTTTCCAGATCTTTCTGGTTTTTTAATGTTTTTGATGTAGTCTTTTCATAAAAATTAGGATTTTTTTTTTTTAATTTTCAGGTTTTACAGGAGAAGGGCATTCACATATGGGATGGAAATGCATCAAGAGACTACCTTGACAGGTTGTTCATGACTGTGTTATTCTTTATACTTGCAATGATATCTCTTTAAAGCCTTTTACAATTTTGACTTAACATTTAAAATGTTTTTTATTTCAGTATTGGTCTAGAGGATAGAGAAGAGGGCGACTTAGGACCTATTTATGGATTCCAGTGGAGACACTTTGGTGCTAGGTGAGCTTTAAAGCTACTTGTTAGTTATTTGACCTATAGGTTGTGAGAAGGTCTATTTATGACATGATTTGTTGTACTTGCAATATGTAGGTATACAGACATGCATGCTGACTACACCGGCCAGGGGTTTGATCAACTTCTTGATGTTATCAACAAGATTAAGAACAATCCAAATGATCGGCGTATTATTCTTTCTGCATGGAATCCTTCTGATCTCAAGTTGATGGCACTTCCTCCTTGCCACATGTTTGCACAGGTTGGTGTGATAGAAATGATAGTTGTCAGAATGTATTTTACAGTTTCTTAATTCTATTGTCTCCTTCCCCTTTACAGTTTTATGTGGCCAATGGTGAGCTGTCATGTCAAATGTACCAACGGTCTGCTGATATGGGTCTTGGGGTGCCATTTAACATTGCTTCTTACTCCCTTTTGACATGCATGATTGCTCATGTTTCAGGTATGGTTACTATCTGGTTAGTGTTTCACATTATAAACAACATAAAAAATATGTGGAACTCGGAGTGGCGGGGAAAAGGGATCCATTGCAAAGCAAAACGTTTTTTAAAGCATGGCTTTGCCTTCAAAATTAAAGGAAAACCAAATTTGGTAATACCTTTTAGTTTTACGCACACGTCCCCCATGCACGTACAAGGTACACACACACACACACATATCAGTCTTGATACAACAGAATTATATTAATATTTGCCCAAAATTGTTCTATTGAGTTTTAACCCACACATGTTCTTTTGGGACTAAGGCTTGGATGTTGTTGTTGTTGTTATTTTCTCTCTGCCTTTCCTGAGTTTCAAAGACTCTTGAAGTGAAAAGACAAATCCTGTCCAGAAACTAGACATTGACAGCGAGTTCTGAAGTATGCAATCAAAGCATGTCATCCCTTCATGCGTTTTTTTTTGTGTATTCACTACAAGTGCCTTATGGTTCTCTCTTTCATATAGGTCTTGCTCCTGGTGAATTTGTTCACGTCATTGGTGATGCTCATGTTTACACAACTCATGTCACACCTCTGCAGGACCAGCTTCAAAAGTTGCCAAGGCCTTTCCCAGTAATAAGCATCTGAATTTATTTTGATTTAGTGCAGTTTGATGCTCTCTCTTCAATTATTTTAAAAAAGGGACTAAATAATCTCGAAAACAGATCTATCCCAATTTCTTCTCTCCACTTCTCCCGCTAAGCTGCCCAGCCACCAAGCCGGCTGCCGCCACTGACACTGAAAATGATCCTAAAAACGTAAAAAAATCTCCAGAAAATGTTGCATGGAACTGCCTCTGCTGGTCACTGCGTCATGTGGAGTTCTGTCACTGACTATGGCGGTGTATTACTAACAATGTCACTGGCAACAACATTAACAGTGACATGTATAGTCATTTTCTGGAATTTAAAATAAATGAATCATGTTTTTGTGTGCAGCATTTCTAAAAATCCCTCTATTTAGTTTCATGTTAAAGGTTAATTACATCTACATATGTTAAGATTTGGTCATATTACAATGTGATCCTCAAATTTTCACCCATTGACAAGTCAAACATTCCGTTACCAACACTAAAAGATGACAAGATATAATGATAGTGGTAGAACTTGATTTTCTTGGACTAGATTTCCCTCTATTTTGTCTTGAGATAGTTTTTGAGAAAGCTAAATACTTTTTCAGATAGTGTACATTTAACTAAACACCAAAGTCAATATGAAGACATGTATTCTTGTTAATATCATTCAATTCTATATTCTACAAAAGGGCTTATTTGTAATTTCAAAAATCTGGAGGGGCATTTGGCAATTTGACAAGCCCACAGGGAAGGGAATGCATTTATTTCAAAATATAGATGATCTCTTGTTCTATTTATTTTGCTTCATATCAATTTACATCGATGTAGGTACTGGAGATCAATCCTGAGAAGCATGACATAGAATCCTTCATTGCTACTGACTTCAAGCTAATTGGCTATGACCCGCACCAGAAAATAGAGATGACGATGGCTGTTTAGAAAAGTTTCCAATTTTACGTGGGGTGAATAAACTTGAGATTCTCTCCACAAGATATTTTACTTTCTGATAGGTATTAACGGACCTTCTGTAGATATGAATATATGATATACATGTTAAAAATTTTCTTTTACTCTTTCTCTATGGCATTGTGTGGTATGCTGAATTCAAATCTCTCATTGTGCAGGTAATGCTGCTTGAAACATTAACAACAGGTTATATTCCAACACATACCTTAAGAACAATAGGGATTGTTGAATCCTTTAGTTCTGCGTGATACCCGTTGCTCTAAAGTGATTTAGAATGTGTTGTTTGGTATCCTTCTATTGTATTCCTTGTAGCGGTTTATTTTTAGCCCCCCTACTACCCCTCAAAATTTTCCATTTATGGAAAAAATCCATACACAGTATAGTTATGCTGCTATGTACAAAGTTGCAATTGCTGTGTAGAATATTGCATGCTTGTCTTTCCGATTATCATACAAATGAGGGCGGTGAAGCTTTTACTGTTTCTCCACAAAGCTACTAAGTCTTAACTAAATATACAATGGAAAACAGATATTTCTGTTGACTTGGGATATGTGGAACTAAAAAGTTCAGAAGCGCTTCTCTCTTTGACTCTTCGTGCTTTTTAGCATTGGTTTTGTTCCCAAAATTGTCCACCCAAAGTCGTGGTGCTCCCATTAGAAGACTTGATTGAATAAGACTTGGCTGTTAAGTGTCCTTGGAAAACTATTATAGAAAACTGAGGAAGAGAATTTATTTATTACAGAATGCAGAGCTTAAATACAAACATTATTATCGTCTGAAGTTCAGAACTGATAAAACATTGGAGACATACCCCTGATTTACCCAAATTGTTCCTTTATGAATTACAAAAGTATAATTACTCAGACGTTTCACCAAGTTCGGTTTCAACATCTTGTTCTATTGCGTTTTCCTTGTTCTCATCTATGTCCCTAATTTTCTCTTTGAGGAACTCAACAAGACCCTCCAGTGCAGCCTCAACCTCCACTTTCCTCAGCAACTGTTCACCCACCTCTGCTGGGGTCACATTTGCCTTCATTAACAGATTTTCAATTTCAGGGAAGAGAAAATTCTCCTCAATTCCCAAATAATTCTTTGCGAATGTCATAAATGCACCAAATGTGCAGTAGGACATGTGGATATGTACATCCATCCTACCGGGCCTCAAAAGTGCGGGGTCTAATCTTTCCTTGTGGTTGGTTGTGAACACTAAGATCCTCTCGTCTCCACAGCTTGACCATAACCCATCTATGAAATTGAGCAGTCCGGATAGTGTCACCTGGATTGAAAAACACACACCACTTTTTAGAGTTGGGAGGAATTTATGATCAAGTCAATATTGAAAGTTGAAACATTCCCAAGTCATGTGACAAGGTACTGTTCCAGATTTGGACCGACCGACTCTAAGTCCCTAATTTTAGGAGAACCTTAATTAAAATGAAGTTAACTGGTGCCAGTGGAACCTGACCATCTCTACATTGGTCACTAGCTCTGATTCCTCTGAATAAGAAATCTGTTTCGATATCGGCGGAAAAACAGGATGGTCCCAGTCCTGAATTATGACCATGTCCAATTTTTGGCAGTGTGGTCATGAGATTCTCACCTACACTATAAGACTAAGTTTTTCACCTCTGTCCAAAATTTTAAGGTTGAATTCTTTTATGTATTGTTGGGCACAGTTGGGGAAAAGTATAAAACAACATCAAATAGGTGCAGATCGAACTTACTTCTTGGTGGTTCGAGTTTCTAATGAAGTTTAGGGCTTGCTTATCTGCCTCTCGGTCATCAGTATTCAAACTGCAATCAATGTCTTCCACAACTAGAATTGACCTGTTCCCAGTGCCCAGAAGAATGCTCCTCAGTTCAGAATTGGTACGGATACCAGTCAATTCCAGATCATATATGTCAAATTGTAGGTAATTAGCCATGGCTGCAATCAGGCTAGATTTACCTGTCCCAGGAGGACCATACAACAAATACCCACGTTTCCATGCCTTCCCAACTTTCCTATAAAAGTCTCTTCTCCCCACAAACCTATCAAGATCCTCCATGATAGTCCTCTTCACCTCCACATCCATAGCCAGTGTTTCAAATGTTGCTGGATGATCGAGCTTGATTGAGCTCCAGATATAATCACCTGAGTGAGAGAACCTCATCATCATGTGTTCACTATTCATCGTGTAGAGTTTCAGAGTCTTCTCCTCCTCTTTGACTTTATTTGATTCATTTAATAAGAAAGGGAAGTAGGCCTCAAACACCATTTTCTTGTGTTTCTTGTGAAACATAAGCACAAAGTGACAAATCTGATAGCCTTGGCCGTATGATGGTTCTGAATATCTATTGACATTGTTTTCGACCTTTGTTGATACTTGCCTCCATTTGAATTTAACTCCATTGAACAAATCTATAATCTCTTGATCATTGTCGATAATAGTTGAAATTTTAGACTCTTTGTCTGGCATGTTGACTCTTAACCGGTGTGTGGAGGATTGTGAAATCTTTCTACCTAAGTAGGTCTCTGCAGCCTTGTATATTTGGTTGCTGGCCAGCCCGTTGTATTCTTCTATGATCAAGACCATATCCGAAGAGAAAGACCTGAAAAAGAGATTGATGTTTGAGTAGATGTATTCTTGTACTTCGTATGGTATAAGGTCCCGAGCTAGGGACCGGACCACCATGGCTGATGCAGCTATAGAAGCTGTAGTTGTAAGAATGGCTTTCACAGAGGCCATGTTAGTGCTTATGCAGTGATCTGAAAAAACACTTGAAATCATTGTTTGGTTTTTAAAATAAGTATGAAGAAAAAAGAATGTGATTTAGGAGAATGAGATGATTTAAGACAGTCTTTTCTGAGTGAATGAAATCAATGAATGAATACATGGCCTTGTGACACTGTTATATACACATAAGAAATGTGTAGTGTGGAAACAAAGTCAAGTCTTTGGCATTTTTGGGCCAGTAGTTTGTATAGCTCTTTGATGCTTCTTCCCCATTTCACAAGGTCTGACCAAGTCTACGTTGACTCTGTTTTGACTCTTCTGTCACAATAATAAGCGTAATTGTGGAAGAAACAAGAAAATGAACAAATAATGGTACAATTATTAGAAAGTTCTTTCCCGGAAATTAAGTTGCCTTGTGGAAACCTAGTTCTGCTTCTTAGGTTGTGTTTGGTAGATTGACAATAAACAGAGGGAGATGTAGCAGGTTAGGTAGATGAGAAGTAAAAAGAAGAAAAATACGTCATAAACGGATATGAGCGCCTTTCGTGTCGAATTTTTTTATGAAAGTTTTAGAACATGTTCTTCATCAAGTGTGGAACATCGCCACAAAACTTCAAATAAAAAAAAGAATCGATAAGTCAGTCAAATAAAATTTCAAAAAATACAGCGCTTTATGTTCCAACTTTTAAAATATATACATTGACATCCACTATTTTTGAGATAATTTTCTAAATAGGACTAAAACGTGGATAAAATTCGCAAATAGTACTACATGTGTTTTATTTCCAAAACAGGACTCAATAACTCATGATTTGAAAAGTTTTAATCAAGTTATTCTCTTAAAAAGGACTACCTGAGTCTTATTTGGGTAATAAAACATATTTAGTCCTATTTCTTTTTATCTTTGTGTATGTTTTGGTCCTATTTTGAGCAATTTTTAGTTTTTAAATGGTGGTGTCAATTTTAAAATTTGGAAAGATTACACACATCAATATGTAGATTATTTTTTATACATTAATTATGTATACCCATATATGAAAAAGAAAAACTTCAGTGGTGTCAATTGACACCCAGGGGCGGAGCCAGAAATCTTATATGCCCTGCGCTGAATATGAATTATATTAGGCTTAAATATTAGAGAGATGGACTGAATATGAAAAATGAAAAAATTTGGGATAAGGGTCAGATAGGGCCTCAAATTTGAAAAAAATGTCAAATAAGGCCATATTTAGGATGTTCTGTCCGGCCGGCGCCATTTGGAGCGGTTCCCGGTGGATTTTTTTGATGAAATTTTTTGAGAATTTTATTCATTAAGTCTAGTTTACTCATATCAAATTTGAATTAAAACTTCAATCGGGAAGACATTCAAATGAATTCTCGAAGATAACTGTGCAGTAAAAAGCGCAGTTATCTTCGAGAATTCATTTGAATGCCTTCCCAATTGAATTGTTACTTCAAATTTGATATGAGTAAACTAGACTTAATGAATAAGATTCTCAAAAAATTTCATCAAAAAAATCCACTAGGAACCGACCCAAATGGCGTCAGCCGGACATACCATCCTAAATATGACCTTATTTGACATTTTTTTCCAAGTTCAAGGCCCTATCTGACCCTTATCCCAAAAAATTTACACTAAAAAAATTGAAAACTTTTTAAGTTGCCCTGAACTTCAGCCTACCATAGCCCGTACATAGATCCTTCCTTGTACCACAACTCTATAGGTGGCTCCGCCCCTGTGTGTTATATGGATTGCCACTTGTCCAAATGCTCTTATCTCTTGAAAGTAGCTTAGTTGATTTTGCGCCAAGGTTTTTGTTTTTGTTTTCTAGGAAAAGTTTTTTGTTACTTTCTAGTAATCCAAACATTATCCCACAGACAAATATATAAAAAATATATCGTTTTAGTGACAAAAGGGCCTACATAAGAGCTTTGCTCCAAAAAGGAAGCACTTTTAATTGTTGAGTCTAACCATTTGGAGACGCATGTAAAGCTATGCCATAGAAAAGTTTTTTTCGTTCAATAGCTTAACCCTCACGTTTTTGCCAAGTGAGCATCATGTGTATTTTTAATGTTAGTAAAATTGATAGCTGAAAAAAGAATTCCATAGATTAAATTTGTTTTAGATATTTGTAATGTGTGTTTTGGTAAAATGCTCACTTTTTTTCCAAGTGAGCATTTTTGCCAAAATATTTTGATTTCAAAATATAATATGTTCCCGCATTCCATATTTTAATTCTCAAGAGTTTTTCTTCATAAATATTTAATGCACCTTAATATCTAATGCAGTTAAGTTTTCTCTTACAATGGTCATTTATGCTGTTTTGCTACGAAATGGACTTCTACACTGGGAGAATCTATTCTCACACCAACTACTTTGATATTATTCTCATCATAATTTTAATTCCTTTTTTGTGTTCTCTCAAGGTATTCTAGATCCTTTCTCAGCAGCTTAGCCCTAAATCAAGGTATTTGTTTTACCTATAGTACTACCTTTGTCCGGAAAAGGTTTGCCATATCGACTTCTCTCGATCAATGATGACTAACTTTTGTATAATGATTTTAATTATTATATTTGTTAAAATTTATTAAATTTTATACTTTTAGGAAAATATGTTGAATAAGGAACATTTTGATATAATTTTCATATTTGAAATAATTTCGTATTAAAAAATATCATTAGTCCAAGTTAATCGCCATTGACCAAGAAAAATCAATTTGATGAACTTTTTTGGGATGGACAGACTAATATTCATCACAAAATCCAAAATAAATTAATTGATCTTGGCAAACTTCTATTGTTAGTCAGAACTCAGAAGTTCAAAACCACTCTAATAGATGACTATCTCCCAAGTCTAACACACCGCCGTAGTGCCAAACTTATCTTCATAAGTTTCATTTACTAATGTACAAAGGATGTTTTTATTTGGATTGTAATTTGTCCCAGACCAGATCAGTCCAGACCAGACTAGATCAGTTCAGACCAGACCAAACTTGTATAGTTATAAAAGTACAAAGAAACCAGACATTACCAGACCAGACCAGTCCAGACCAGACCAGATCAGATCAGATCAGACCAGACCAGCAAATTACAGTCCAAGTAAAAACATCCAAAAACACATTATTTACAGGAATTTTTAGATGCCAAATAGAAATAACAATACCAAAAACCTACCAAACTGTACTCTTTCAAGATAACTAATTAAACTACCCAACATTCTATCTTATTTTTTTATTCTACACAAAAAGAAAATAAAGGAAGACAGCCGGGAATATAAGAGCAAAACCAGAAAAGTAATTACAGTTTTACAATACGTATCAGCTGTGTTTTTTTAGCTTATTAGTTCGATACCAAAAAAGAGAACTCTTCTTCCCTCAAAGCCCTCTGCTGCCTTGCAATGAAATCCTCCACTTTACGCCTAAACTCCTCACCGCTCATTTCCTCCGTAGCTGCCGGAGCTGCCGTCTCACTTTTCCGGCGAGTTATAGTCCCCAAGCTCTTCAGTTCCCTTCTAGCTTCCTCACAGTACACCCTCTTCTTCATGCTCTCCGACTGACTCCTCTGCATTTTCCTCTCCTTTGAAACAGGGGTCCCCTGTTTCCCCTGTTTCTTGATCTGTTCTTCACAGTAGTTCCCAGACAAATCGCCACTTTTCCCATATTTCTTAGTGAATTCCTCGTAAAAATCAACCTTTTCATCAACAGATCCATGATTCTCCGATGAGTCCCCAGACCGGAGGAAGCCGAGGAACAAGACGATGAATATGGCGTTCCCGAGGAGGAAAACGAAACCCGGACTGATCAATAGTCCCCTGAAGTACCCTCCGGACAGCTTTAGAACATTAATGCTCAAATAGCAGGATAATCTCCAGAGGATGACCAAAAACATGCAGAGCTCAATAAATCGGAAAGCTGCAGTGATCATTTGCATCTTCCTCAACCTTTGCATCACTTTTTCCTTCTGTGGTTTGATGTTTGTAAGAGTGTGTAAATCCATTCTCTGATTCCTATGTATAGAGAATTATATTCTTGGATGGTTTTTTGAGGAGATGGAGTTATTAGGAATTTCTAACTCGAAAGAACAAGTGCTTTTGGATCAAAAATCTGTCTAGAAACACTCTCAGTACAGAGGAATTCTGAGTTAAACATACCATATTGAAGAGAGAAAAGATCATGCAGGTTAAAGTGATGAAGAAAAGAGAGTGGAGAGGAAGAGAGCTGGGTTGCTTCTTCACGTAGGTTTAAGCTTTGGATTTGAGTGGGCTGAATGGGGGAGAAAGTGCCATATATATAATACTTAGAATAGACCTAGTTTATTTACTTTTTTCATTTATCTTCTTTCGATTATGCATATGGTGGTTATATATTCTAGAGAATATGCTCCTTTATTTGAACAGAGTAAGTAATACATTTACAACGATATTCTATTATTCTAGAAGCCAATATTTTGATTCTCTATTTCTATGAGTGGGGTGGTTTATGGAGGGCGGATTTCAGATTTCTTTATGGGTATCTTGTGTTGGTCTTTTGGGTTTCGGCCTACCATAACAAAGGAGATACTATTTCCCCATATCAACCTAGGTTACAAAAATAATACTCCCAACATGAATAATGGAGTTAAAATATTGCTTCAAATATAACAAAAACAAAAATGTACAACTAGGATTAACTATATTCTATTATCAAAATTAGACTCATTTGATCTCTTTATTCGTTCTATCAAGAACTATATGCAAGGATCTCAGAGAGTAGTAGGGTCGGTCCTAACAAAACAGAGACCCTGTGCAACAATAAAGATTAGGCCTTTTATCTAATGAAGTAAAAAGTATAATAAATTGTACACTATATTACTAATAAATTACTAATACCTTATGTCAAATACAAGTTATTAGTTAACAAATGAAAACAATTACAATAAAAGTATTTGCTAATAAAATACACTTTATTTTAAAAGAGATATTCTTTGATCATATTTTTCTTAGTTATAACTAATGTTCTAAAAGGCGCAAGACGTGTCAAGGCAACAAGGCTAAGTCTTAAGCCTCTGAAGACGAGACGAGTTTAGTCGTTTAGGCGATACACAAGCGTGAAAAAACGTTTTGATGTGATATCAAATATGCACTTAAATCAGGCAACCCACACGTGGTTATTTTGGGTACGTAAAAGTTTTGCCTCTTAAAATCCTCCTATAACAACATTAAATCATAACGGGGATGTTTGACAATTGACTGTTGTCTGTTAGCTGTTGACTGATTGTGTTGGCTGATTGAAAACAGCAGTTCCGGTTGGCTGTCTTGATTAACTGATAGGATTAGCAGTTTCTCAAAAAAAGTTTGGTTAAATAGCTGTTTATAATCAACCGATAACTTGTTAAATGACTTTTAAGGGCATTAATTAATTTTTTAATATAATTAGTTCAACTACGTACTTAAACTGTTTTTATGATTTCAAAACTTAAAAAATGTATCAACCCAACTACCCAAGTAATAATTATTTTAGACATTTTTTTTTTCACAAATTGATAAACTTAATTAAGAATAATGATAAGGAGAACTTGAAACTTGTAAATTGTTCTTCTAATCATCATTAGCAGAGTAAAAAATCTCAAAGGCTCTATCTAGCAACTTTTCTATATATTAGCATTGCCGCCATCTCCAAGCTTGGCTTCCTCCATCATCTAAGATTCTCAATCTCCTTCACCCACAATAGAACCCTACACTCCTTCCTCATATTCTCTAAACTATAAATTGACCTCTCATTTTAATTTTGCTTGGCAATTGTTAATATATTAGGAAAAATTGAAAATAATAATCTCAATTATTGCTGGTCCGCTAACAATAATCCCAACTACTGATTATTTTTGTATAATCTCAATTATATGGACCATCCGCCAATAATGGTCCATGACCGGATATTACCTGCTATAACAGGTGAATTTTAATACGTAGTAGAAATTAAGCGTAAAAATTAAAAGTTGGGATTATTTATAGGGATTACCTGCTATATGTCTTATCATCCACTTTAGAAACTATAAGAATTCATTTATAACCGGTCACGTCGGACCATTATTGGCGGAATGTCCCTAAAGTTTAGATTATTCTAAAATAATCGATAGTTGAGATTATTAGTGTCAATTTTTCCAATATATTATTGGCCCAAATAGTCTTTGTATATTAATAATTGTTGACACCCTATTTAACAACCCACTACTCCTACTCCAGTTACCAGACTTGGTTTATTTCTCCTTGTTTGAATTTATCAAGACTCATCATTTGAGCATACAATGAGTGTGTGTGATTGTGTTATCCGTTGAGATCTGTCCTTCCAACCCTCCTTCCTAACAAGCCAAATCCTTCTGTATTATGGGTACAGCCCTCCATGCTTTCACATGTGCAATTGTTTTTCAAGTGGCAGCAACTTCTTCTGTTTCTCTGCTGTATATATCAATCACTCCGTAAAGCCTTTGAGGAAGAGGTGAGAAAAAGAGAAACCAGCTCTTTGTGAAGCTTGAGTAAGATAGTGAGGAAGGTCGAATAGGGATAGTTGCTCCCTTAGCCTAGGAGTGTACAAGGAGATTATTGGAAACCGACCTCCGGCTACTTGAGCGAATCCGGCAAGACAAAAACAGATCCACAACAACAATATCATTGACGTTCGTACCTTCTCTAGGAGTTTTTCCCTTTTTGTGCTCCCAACTTTCCCTTCATCTCCTCCACTATAGGCTTGGAGGCCACATGCGTGTTCAAGTGGAGAAGAAAGCTTTTTCGCTCTCCTTTTTCATTTTTAGAAGAAGTAGTACGTGTAAGTGACGGCGTGACGCACGAAGAAGTGGAGGAGACCCTTGGGCAAAACAGAGATATCGATGAAAAATTCAAACGACCGATATCTAAGCGCTGGGTTTATCAGCTTTTTCCATATTGGTGGTTTCGAATAAAAAGCCAAACCAAAAACTTCAATTAGCAATTAGCTGTTTATCTGCTCAAAAAGCCAAATACGAGTCAAATGAGCCAAAAAATGGCTGATAGGCCGTTAACCAAACACCCCCAACATGTTTTATGGTGCTGCTAAAGACACTTTTCATAATCAATTTTGAAATTTATCATATTTAGTTGTTTGAGTTTCTTAAAAGTAACATTTAGATCCTTCAATTATTATCACAGTTACATTTTTAGTGCTTGTTGTGCCAAAGTTATAGCAGGAAGACTAAAATTGTCAATTTGATAATACTCTCAATATACTAAATGTAGGAAATTTTGAGGTTGAATATTAAAAGTGTTTCTCGTGCAATAGTTGAGTGTCTAAAAAATGCATATATTAAATATCAACACAATAGTAAGGGACTAAGTGATAAAATTTCTTTTGGCCAAGTTATTGGCGGATATTATCAATCTTTATATTTTCATATTTAAAACTAAGTGATTAGGCTATCCACACAAAACAGTCAAAACTTCGATAAACTCAAATAAGTTTTGAATCAAATGTCTTTCGTAATAATCTCTTGATAATTCCATGAAGGTTTGATAATTCCACAAATTTATTTGGAAATGTGAGAAGCTATGCAATTATACGATAGGAGGTTTTAATGACTATAGGTAAATCAGAATTCAAATTAAAAAAATTGACCCAAGGGTGTATCATCTCATAATATAAATATTGGCCTATTTTAAATGTCCATTTCTCATTATTTAGGAATTTTAACATAGTAACTCTTGTTATTTAGCTTTGCAAATATTTTAAATATATGGATTGGTATGATTCTAGTCTAAAAGTAGATCAGGCCAAATTAGTTAAGACCAGAGTCCCCAAGCAGACTTCGACAATTCTATAACACTAGTTCATTAAATATACATCTATCAAATCAGACCAATTCAAATTAGATCAAATTAAATTTAAATAGATCAGAACAAATCAGACCATACCTTAAAACTATAGTCCAATTAATACCATCCTTAAAACGATTAGATCAAACTATACATAGCTTAGATAATACGGAGTGGTACAATAGTCATACAACAGACCTATACTGAACTAGTGCAAACCTCACTATAAAATTTCAATTCAATTAAAAATATATTCAACTCTAATTGGCAAAAAATGTTAATTGTATAACTTCTTATATTCATCAGAGATCAACTAATTTATTAGGTTGATTCGCTAAAAAAAGCATATACACGTTTGCAGATATATGGAAGATCAAAATGCTGTATAAATGGCAGAAGCAATATTCATACATCCGACACAGGTAATGAAACTTTAATAATATGCTTTTGTTCTGATTTGTGATCCTATGCACACGGTATGACACGTGGAATATTTGTTTTTAAGTTGACCCCACTTTAAAACAATAAACTCGTTATTTACTCCGTATAAGGTACTATCGTATGTGCCAATTACCGATTTACCGGTTTGCTTTTAACTGATATTCCATTGTTGATTGTGTCAATTGTGTGATAACAACATATATTCTTTAGCAACAAAAGATATTAGATGAGTTGGTTTTAGTTTAATTTAGCACTTCGACAATTGATAACAAGTAAAATGGTAAATAAAGATATTCATATACTCCGTATAAGTTTACATATTTTTAATATTTTGATTTCCTAGATTTTTTTAACGGCATTTTTTTAATTGAAAATTACATATGCTATTATTCACCTTATTGTTATTGTTAAACAACACTATCAAAAGTAACAGTACAACAGGGACAAACTTCTACTGGGCCATTCTTTTGTATGAGGCGCGCTAGTATTTTTATATGTTATATATACTTATATATTCGGTTCATAAAAAATGATCTTAATTAAGAGAGAAATGTGAATGAATCAGGACCTTTAGATTGTATTATATATGTGAAATTTAATGTGCATTAGATGAAACTTAAATGTGCATAATAAAAGGTACAATGCAGTGACATTTTTGTACTATTTATCCTGCATATTTCAATTACACATAACGCACATTTGAATTTTACTTATTATTCTGCACATTTTAATTTCACTTAATGCACATTTCCGTTTCACCAAATACACAATCTTATTTCACATAATATAATAAAAAAGGTTCAAATTCATTCTCATTTCTCTTTGAAAGCCAATGGTGCAGATTGATCATACCATTGAAAGCCAAGGAGGCAATCCTTGTATGTGTGCAATCCGCAAAACTATTTTGAAAGCCAAGGAGGCAATATACCGATATACGTGTATATCACAGTTCAATATGATGTTTATATGTCATAATTTAGTGACACAAAACTGTTTTGCAAACGGTGACACTAAAATTAGTGTCACTGACCCATTTTTCA